GGTGTGGGGTGGGTGACAGCTGGGAGAAAGTTGGTATGGGTTAGGAACTGAAGCATTGAAAATATTATTATAAACAAGGGGAGTGAGTATGGGAGGTCATGGAGTAAAATGCTTTATTCTTTTTTAAACTGTGGTAAAATACACACAACATAAAATTTACCATTTTAGACACTTTAATAGAGTGGCATTAAGTCCATTCACAATGTTGTACAACCATCACCACTCTCTGGTTTCAGAACTTTTTCATCATCCCTGACCGAGTTACAGCTCGATCCCCAGAAGGTGTTATGCAGGAGGCAGCCAATTGATGTTTCTCTCTCATCACTGATGTTTCTCTCTCTCTAAAAATCAATAAAAACATATTTTAAAAAACTGCTTATTTACCAAAAATTGAGGTAACACAACATAATCATCTCCTCTGATAGGTGCTGAAGTAGGAAATTAGACTTTTGCCTTCAAGGCTAGATGAAGAGGTTAGAGATAACTATATATTCAAAGATTGATTATAGGTTAGAAGCTTTAAAATGCTATTGGAATTCAGAGGAGAAAAGTCACTAATAGTTGTTAGATGCTTAACGAATATTTGCATGAATGAATGAATGAATAGTTGAACAGTCAAATACATAGCTGGCCTATGGAAGAAGAACTTGATGGGTCAATTTAATAAGTACAAATGTACAAAATTCAATCTAAGTCATTAAGATGCAGAACAATCTATTAGGTGGAGAACAGAAACTGAATTTTGATGATTTTTTTTAGATGGCTAGTCCAAAACTTTTGGAAAATACTTTCATTAAGGAAATTTAAAGAAAGGTAGATTTGGGAACAATACAAGGAAGAATTTACTATTAACATTGGAAGGAAAGTGACAATACTGTATGCGTCAAGCAGAGGCCATTAAAGTTCTTTGAGATAGAGAGAAAATTATTGATCAGATTGAGCCAAAGGAGACTTTATTGCTAAATCGTTCCACTGTGAAAAAAATCCATTTCTCTATTCCTATCTGTGAATTTAATGAATTATTAGTTGATGAGTTGATAGGAATTATTCTTAATTTCCCTCTTTCCACATGCCCTTCCTCTCGTCACTCTCTATCCCTGTAACCTGTTTTGTTTTTCTTCATCACACTTGTCATTACCTGATATTATATCTGTTGTTTATTCACTGTCCCCCCAACTAGAATGTAGATGCAGACCATTTGTTCACTTCTGTATGCCTGGCACACAATTGATGCTCAATAAGCATTTGCTGAAGCTTTAGAATAACAATAAATAACATATGTATAAATAGCTGTACAGTTTTTCCTAAATATAAAAGTAGTACTTCTTTCTTGTTAATAAAATACAGAAAAGTATAAGGAGAGGATTTAAAAATTGGAGGAATTTATCAACAACAACTTATACCCCTGGGAAATGTGCTTGATTGAGTTCATGTTAAAGTTTTAGGTGTTTGGGCCCCATCAAGCCAGTAAATAATAAAGATTTAACCCCATCCATGTGTTTTTTGTTCTTTGTTTTGTAATGTACAAAAGATGCTGGTAAGGAAGGATGGCTCCATGGGGATTACCTCTGGGAACACAGAATCCAAAGCCGAACAATGGGCTCTTACGTTATCTGGGCAATCTGTTTTGTACCTCCTGTAATTGGTGATATATAATTAGGCCTGCATATTACTTCTGAACACTGCACTTCATTTAGCTGGGCTTATGGAGATTAGATCATGCACAGGAAGCTGGCTCCTTGGTTATCGAGCTCCATAGAGGAGTTGGGAGGCTTAAGGAGGGTGAAAAATTAGGGTTGATTTAAAGGGACAGGATTCTCTGGAAAAGCACAGAGATTTTTCCACTTTGTGCCTCTATGACCTTTAGTTTCCCATAAGCAGTATTGATTCTTGCCTCAATACTTTCTGTAAATAAGGGCCTCTTTAAGCTTTCCTTTCCTCACCCTTTAAAAAAGGCTGCTAACGCTGATGTTGTGAGATTGTTTTCATTTTCATGAGCTAACTCTTTAAAGAATCTAATAGAAGATAAAAACCCCAGCACAGTTCCTGGAACACATACTAAGAGTATAATCATTGTCAGTTTCTTTTTTCCCCGCTCCTTTTATCCACTGTTATCACTGTCCACATTATCGGGCTTTAATTAATTTATTGTAAAATAATTACATTTTGAAATCCTAGTATGTTTGACTGGAGTTTTGAATAGTATTTTGCACTTCTTAAGACACTTTAAGTTACCCACCTTGAGTTATTGTTATTATAATTGTTTACTTGTTTTATTCTTGTTAGATCACAAGCAGTCTGAGAGATGACTCTTATTCATTTTTATATTCACTATCTAGGACAGTACTTTGATCCCAGTGGATATACAAAAAATATGTACCATAATTATTGTTAATAAAAATCAGCATCCCCACACACATCACCCTATAAGGCCAATGCAGATCTAGATACACAGCATAACTTCTTTGAACATTTATTGACGTGGAGAGAATAGGACATACCATTTTGCCAGTAACATTTTAAGAGTGACAGATCTAGAGCAGGCTATGTTTTTTTGTGGTTTTTTTTCCCCCAAACTAGGTTTAACTTTTTCTATATGACATTGATTGCTTGTTAGTTTCTAAGAGCAGGGCCTTCAGCAGTAAGAGAATTATTGTACAGATGAATAATAGGCAGATTAGGAGACTCAGAGGTAATCAAAAGTAGGAAAGTAAGTGGTCAGAAAATGGGTCAATTTACCCATTTTGCCCAGCAGTTTTTTAGGCTGCGCACACAAAAGAGCTGCAGCCCAGTCTCCCTCCATGTGTTTCAGCCTGTCTGTCAATCTCAAATGGTTTCATTGGCCTTAGAGCTAAAATTGTTTGTCTTAGCACTAGTGTGTTGCTTACGGTAAGTCTCTGAGCCCTGGTAATAAGTGTATGCTGTTTGATTCCCATTCCTCTGGCTTTGCAGTTACTCTCTCCTTTTCCTTTTCCCTAGGTGTACGTGGTGGGGAATGAACCTTTAACAGTTTTGGTGGATTCCCTGCTTCCCGTCCTGGGAGTGCTCTTTTCTCTCTACTGCTTTACCAAGCAGAGCGTGTCTCACATAAGGTAAACAACCAGAGAACCTTACTTGTTTGTAAATAGTGAAGTCTTCTCTTGCATGTTGCTCTTGTTCTTATTTTGAATTTAACATGTCACCTTATAATTAACTAGAGGCCCGGTGCACGACATTTGTGCACTCGAGGGGAGTGGGGGCGTCCCTCAGCTCGGCCTGCGCCCTTTAGCAGTCTGGGAGCCCTTGGGGGATGTCTGTCGGACATTCTTAGCGCTGCCACGGAGGCGGGAGAGGCTCCCACCACTGCCGCTTGTGGCTGAGTAGCGCTCCCCCTGTGGGAGCACACTGACCACCAGGGGGCAGCTTCTGCGTTGAGTGTCTGTCCCCTGGTAGTCAGTGCATGTCATAGCGACCCGTCATTTCACCGTTCAGTCGATTTGCATATTACCCTTTTATTATATAGGATTTTTTTCTTTTCAGTCAGGAAAACATTTGAGAACCTTCTTATTCTGCTCATCTAGAAAAGAGAGAGCTTTGTAAATTGCAGGGGATTGGGTGTAGGTTTTAAAATGACTTGCCTCAGCCTCAGTCCTAGACATCAGAGATGAATATTTACATGTATGAACATGCCCCTGTTTAACCAGTGAAAAATACTGGAATTACATGTCTAGGAAGGAGGAAATAGTGGATGGTTCATAACTACCTCGTGGGGAGCTAGGAATCAAGCTTGGGAAATCTGGATCTGAATACAGACTCTGTAATGTAGACTTGGATTTGGTGTTAGTGCTGCACAGGATAGTTTAGAATGAAGGGGTTTCTTAGTCATCCAGAAAATAACCTTTTGTATTGGGATTTAAGTAGGACTCCTTTTTTATCAGCTCTATTTTCACAGCTACTTATGTGGTTTCTTTCTCCTTAGAAGAGTTTGTATCCTTTCTAAAGTCATACAGAATTCTGATTTTTGGTGTTTGGAAATAACCTATATGTAATCTGATATACAATAATGGTACCTTCTTCATTGAGTTATTATGAAGATTAATTGTGCATTAAACTGTTTAGCAAATAGAAAGCTACCATCATCACCAAGGGGTGAAGGAAAGTATAGTTGACCCTTGCATAACATAGGTTTGAATTGTGTAGGTCTATAGACTATTTTTTCAATAAATACCTGTACTGTTTTCAGGCTGTGCTTGGGATCTGTGGATGTGGAGGGCTGACTGTACATTAATCTATGCCATTTTATTTATTTATTTATTTATTTATTTTTTATCCTCACCTGAGGATATTTTTCCATTGATTTTTAGAGAGAGTGGAAGAGAGAGGGAAAGACAGAGAGAAATATCCATGTAAGAGAAACACTTCGATTGGTTGCCTCCTGCACACGCCCAGACCAGGGCCCGGGCTGGGGAGGAGCACGTAAACTGAGGTATGTGCCCTTGACTAGAATCGAACCCGGGATCCTTTGGTCCGGAGGCTGACGGTCTATCCACTGAGCCAACTGCCTAGGGCAATCTGTGCCATTTTATATAGGGGACTTGAGCATCTTCAGATTTTGGTATTTGCAGGGGATCCTGGAATTGATCCCCCAAGGATATGGAGGGACAACTTAAGTTTTCGGGGAGTCAAAAGTTTATACATGTATTTTTACTGTGTGTGTGTGGTGAGGGGAGTCGGTATCCCTAACCCCCACATCGTTCAAGGGTCAACCGCACTGTCTTGCATATTAGTCAAAGCTTACATATTGCCTTTGACTCTAACTTTTGGTTAGCGCACCATTGTAACCCAAAGCCATATGGGAAGTGACAATAGAAAGGGCAGTGTGAGATGGAGACTATATATGTGAATTTGGCTTTAATGGACCATCCATATAATAACTCTTGTTTTAGTTTTGAAACCCAAGTCCTCATAGTACTGTCATGTCCACATCAGAGACTGAGAAGGGAGAGGCAAATGTTTATTCCATTCCTCTCCTAGTTGAAAAGGGGATGAGGAATCAGCAAGAATTTGTTGGTATGCTGTTTCTTGGTCGCTAGCTATTGGTCCCATTGGTAGTGATGGTTTCATCAGTGTAAACTTTCTTTCACAGTGCCTAATCCAAAGGAAGTGGGTACACTCTGATTACAAAAAATACATTCACATGGGGCTCATATGTCATATCACATTTATTTCTAGAGCCAAAGATCCGTCAGTCACTCACTGAATTTCAGGATATTTGTAAGAAGCATTCTTTTCACTCCTGCACTTCAGTGGAACTAGGTGACTATGCCAGCATTTTTTTTTTTAAATATATTTTATTGATTTTATACAGAGAGGAAGGGAGAGAGATAGAGAGTTAGAAACATCGATGGGAGAGAAACATCGATCAGCCGCCTCCTGCACATCTCCTACTGGGGATGTGCCCGCAACCCAGGTACATGCCCTTGACCGGAATCGAACCTGGGACCTTTCAGTCCGCAGGCCGACGCTCTATCCACTGAGCCAAACCGGTTTCGGCTATGCCAGCATTTAGAATGCAGTGGGACCTGACAGTCTTTCTTTCTCTCTTGTTAGATGCATAGAGTAAGATGATAAGCTCATTTATAACTTTTTTCTGCCAGGTCACTTTGCCAAGAGATCTTATTATGGATTCTGGGGAAACTGGAGAGGAACAAAGCAGTTGCCAGCCTAAAAGGATTTGCGGGATTGGACAGATCTGAGCCTTCACTCCATTCTCTGTGTCAGTTCAGAGCTGCCACTCAAGGTGGTATTATGGTTACCATCAAAGAGGCCATTTGGTGAGTCCAACCACCCTTTGCTATCTCTCTTCAGATTTAATTGTACCCGAGGCCATTCTGTGATTTGTCCACTAAGGGGCGCTGATAGGAAGGAAACAAAAAAGCAGCTGACATGCGCCCGTTTATTATAGTGTCTAAATGAAATGTGAGCCTTTTTAAAAAAATTTTTATTTTCTTGTTTAAAGTACTAGAAATAGTTGTACATATGTCTCCTTTTTTTCCCCATTGACCTTCCCCTGGCCTTTAGTAATCCTCCAGGCTTTTCCTCGATGCTAATAGTAGGTGCAATCTACTGGAGCCTCACAGCTCGGCCCCTTACTTCACAAAGACTTTGCCAGTGAATCAGAATAAAGGGCAGACACATGTTCACCCTCAACACCATACACCAATGCGCTTTCTCACTCTCAAAATGGTATATGTGTTCTGAATCAGACGTTTTCCTATGGGAAATTGCTCGATAGATATCTTTTATAGAAATTTTATAATGACAGTTTGTTTCTCCCAGGGATTGATTAGAAGGTGCTTAATAAATGTTACTGGAATGGGTAATTTATTTCTCCAACATCTCAGAAGTATAGGTTAAATTATTTCCATTTTCTGGATGATATGTATAGATGTTATTACCTCAGACTGTCTCCTATTCTTATCAGATTTCACAAAGTATTTACCTGGTGGCAGCTACTGTACTTAGATCATATCACATTAAAATGCTGTCATTTGTTAAAGTGTTTAAATTTAATTTTTTTATTCATGGTTGACTAAGTTTTAGAACACTTTCAATATGATGAACTTGAGGAAAATAAACATATTGATTGCAAACAATTATCAGTACAAACTCAAGCTAGTATTTTACTGAGAGTTATTTTGTTGAGCATTAGTAGGTTCTATGGTTATGCCCTTGAACTGAAAGAGTTTAAAATTTTGGGGCATGTTTATTTAAAAATACCTTTGCTACAGTTGAAACAGGGACCAATTTAGTGACTATATAGAGAATTTTATAGTATTTAACTTATCAGTAGTTAAAACTTATTGCTATCTTAACAAGCCTTTGGTGCACTTGTGTCAAAATCAACAGCTCTTATTGAAACTAAAGTTTTCTTTATTGTAGGAAAGATAGTGAACAGGCAGTGCTTGAATGAATCTCCATCCCTACCAGATCCTTAACCTGGGGTCTCCACATGGACTTTTAAAGGGCTATAATCTACTGAAATTATACACAAGAAGTTTTTTTATATGCACACATGGATTTTTTTTCCCCCTGGAGTGAAGGGAAAATAATTTAAACAAAAATTTGAGGTATTTTTAATGATTTGTTGTATGGAAAAATAACATGTTACTTTAGAATATTATTAATGGGGTTTTAAAAATATATATCTCCGGGGGTGGGAGGGGAAAAAACAAACACCTCTGGGTGATCAATCTTCCCAAGATAAATGTGACTCCACATTGCAGTGATGAAGATGAAGCCCTGTACCAGAAGGTATCCTCAGAGCAGTGCCAGCTAGAGCATCTCGGGGACTTGCTGTCCCACTGCCAGGAATGTGGGTTGGCTGGTGACTTCTTCATCTTCTGCTTGAAGGTAAGAGCTATAGTACATGTGCAGTTCATGGCCAGCTTTATTCCAGGGTAGTATCAGGAGCCCTATTGAATTTTCAAGCCAGTCATAATCTTAGGTTCTAAAATTAGGGCCTGTTAGGATAAATAATCAGAGGATATAAGGGTAATTTATGTTTTAGGAGGTTTGGTAAAAAGAAGAAACCTACCCTCGGCAGTACACGTGTAACTGAACGACTTTGCAAGCTAATCTGCCCTGAAATTTTAGAGATGACCAAAGCAGAACTGTTGATCTATGAAAGGGTTAATCTTTGCTCTGTGTTCATAGTAAGAACTCTTTTGAAGTTAATAGCAGGTTTTACAGCTATAGAGTAATCCCTTATCCTTTCTGACTATTGTTTTGTCAGGTATTTAGAAAGGAGATTTAGCAGTGCTGCCTCTCTCATTTCATTTTGTAGCCGCTTGAAGACCTTCTCCGGGTTTGCTTCTTGGTGCTGGTGGTTGTCCTTCCTGTTGTCCTCATCTCCCAGCAGTAACCCGTACCCCATACGGTTACTCCTCACTCGCACTATTGATGAGACCATAGGCCTCTGATTCCCTGTCTTCCAGCTCTGCCTTCTCCATTATTTCCCCTAAATAAAGTGCCTACTCCAAGAGAATGTTTGTGGAGTTTAAGGACGGTGTGGGTGTGGGAGAATACAAGGAGTGAAATAGGGCTAATAATTCTAGAATTTGAAGTTGGGGTACTTTTTAAAAATATATATATATATTTTATTGATTTTTTACAGAGAGGAAAGGAGAGGGATAGTTAGAAACATCGATGAGAGAGAAACATCGAACAGCTGTCTCCTGCACAACCCCTACTGGGCATGTGTCTGCAACCAAGGTACATGCCCTTGACCGGAATTGAACCTGGGACCTTTCAGTCCGCAGGCTGACGCTCTATCCACTGAGCCAAACCGGTTAGAGCTGGGGTACTTTTTTGATGCTTTCTCCTCTGCCACATTCACATCTACCCCCTCCGCCCAGCCCACTCATTGTAAATAACATTACAAGAATATATGTCCTCTTAATTTGACACTTCAAAAATTTTTATTTAAAAACAAAAAAAATGAAAGGTGTTTTTCGTTGTTGTTGTTTTTTCCCCTCCTCCCTCCTCTAAACAAAGGTTTTCCCACCTTGGAATTATTGACATTTGTGGTTGGATAATTTTTGCTGGCTGCAGGTAAGGGGAGATGGGAGGCCTTCTGGTGAGGATTGGGGGCTTCCTGTGCATTGTAGGGTGTTTAGCACCATCTCTGACCTCTTCCCACTAGGTGCTTGTACCACCCTCCAATTATGATGACCAAAAATGTCCCCAGACTGCTAAATGTCCCCCTGGGGAGCAAAATTGCTTAGGCACAGTCGGAAGCACGGCTCTAAACTGTCAGTTACTCTGTTAAAGCATTAATTGTTAACACATTGCGGACCAGTAGTTTTATTGCTCGCTTTACCCAGTGGCCAGGTAAGTTTCTGTTGAACGAGCATAAAAACCGTTTACATAAATGTTAAAGGCACGCTTTAAAATTAAATACCCATTGCATTTTGAAGTTATTTATTATATGTTCTTACCAGCTAATATCTTTTTAAAGTATGATACTTTGTAAAACACTGTGTAATATGAAGTGAGAATTCTCCTGATCTGTTTAAGTAAGCTAAGGTTTTGCCTTCCTAAGGAAATTTGCAATATGAAGAGTAGGGGAAAAGCCTACAAAACCCACAGTAATGAATTATGTATTGGTAGAAATTTAGTTCTAAATATCTTAGGGAAAAAGGGCTGTGGTGCTGAAAGCATCGAATAGTCTCTAAAGAGGGGTTGGGAATGTTATTTGGCTTTAGTTCAAGGAAGGCTAGTGATGGAGATCATAAAAATACTGGTGAAATAAGTCAAACTAGTTCTTCGTGTGTATGTTTTTCATTATGAAGTTTTAAATTTTCATACACGGTATCATAGTATAGGCACTATTCTGCAGCTTACATTTTTTACTCCACAGTGCTTTTGAGAGCTCTCTGTATTGATATCCACTTAGACTTAGTTCATTTATCTCAACTGCTGCAGTATAATAAATACATCACAATTCATTTTCTTATCGCTGGACATTTTTGTTTCCAATTTTTGGCTATTATAAATAATGCTGCAGTGAACACAGACTAGTCCTTTAAATACACATTTCAAACCGAGTTTTCTAGCTGTTGTTGAGCCCTTTGTCCCACAGGCTTTCCCTTTTCTCCTACTGACAGGAGTTGACTCATGTGGCTGTGGAAAATGAAGCAGAGTTAAAAACGCAGCACTTCTCCAGCAAAAGCCTCTTGGAATTAGAACAGCACCAGACTCTTCTGGTGGAAGGCCAGGAGCAGAAGCTGCTGGTCCTGCAGCTGTTGGCTGTTCTGTGCGAGAGGATGTCTGAGCAGATATTCACAAACATCACTCAGGTCAGTGTCCGTCACATTTTGGATCCAGCCTGGTTTGGTTTCTTTACATTCCTTCCAAAAAATGTTCAAAGAATGTTACTCAGAGTGTGGTTTGATGACAGCTGCCTCAGTGTTACCTGGAATTCTGGTTAAACCTGCCAATTACTGAGCCTACACCAGACCAAGAGGATCAACACTTTCACAGGTCCTGGGAATCGGCATGTTTATTAACAAACTCCTGAGGCGATTCTTAAGTGCATATAACTTTAAGACCTGTTTTAAATGTTTATATGTAGTATCAGAGTGGTTTTTAACTTCATTAGAGCCTGGGCATCTGTGGTTTTTGTTGTTGTTGTTAATTCTCACCTGAGGATATTTTTTCATTGATTTTTAGAGAGAGTGGAAGGGAGGAGGAGAGACAAAGAGAGGGAGAAACATCAATGTCACATGAGTTGGTTGCCTCCCACATGCCAGGGCCAGGGATGGAGCCTGCAACCGAAGTACGTGCCCTTGACCGGGATTGAATCCGGGATCCTTCAGTCTGTGGGCTGACACTCTATCCACTGAGCCAAATGGGCTAGGGCAGCATCTATATTCAAAAAATACATTTTTTAACTTTTATTTTTTATTTAATTTCTTTATTGATTAAGTTATTACATATGTGTCCTTATCCCCTAAAAAACACATTCTTAATTGATTTTTAGAGAGAGAGGGAGGGAAAGGGAGCTACAAAGAGAGAAATGTGGATAGGCTGCCTCCTGCACACCCCCTACCTTGATAGCCTGCAAGCTGGGAATCGAACCGGCAACCGTTTGGTGCACAGGATGATGCCCAACCAACTGAGCCACCCGGCCAAGGCTGGGCATCTGTATTTTTTAATGCTCTATGGATGTGCATCAAAAGTTGAGAATGATTAGAAACTCAAATTTAAGAAAACAATCATCTAGAATTTTACAGGTCCTCTAACTCACAGCTTTTCTCCCTAATAGCCTGTGAAGTTTTAAGATTAAAACAAAAATGCTTTCAGAGTAGAGTAACTATGTGAATCAGTGCCTGAACCTTATTGGCTCAGACATAATTTTTATAGCTTTGTGTTTTTTTTTAAATCCTCACCCAAGGATATTTTCTCCATTTCTTTTTAAGAAGAGTCGAAGTGAGGGGTAGGTGTGCGTGTGGGTGGAGAAACATTGATGTGAGAGAGACATATCGATTGGTTGCCTCCCACAGGAGCCCTTACCTGGCAGCAACCCAGGTACATGCCCTTGACCAGGAATTGGAATCGAGCCTGAGACCCTTTGTTGGCGGGCAGATGCTCTAACCACTGAGACACCAGCCAGGGTTTACCAACTTTTTAAAAATAGGAGTTAAAAGTAATAGAGAATAAGCAGTGCAGGTGCCATATTTTACCATTTTACCAGAATTGGTTGTTGCTTGGTGAATAGTCGGTTGTAAGATGGTATGATTGTCACGTTTGAATCTGCTTCTCCAGCTCTTTGTATCCTTGTCATTGTCATCTGCCTCGGGTGTTGCTAAGCAGCATTTCAGTACAGCTCCTGCTGAGAAAATTTGCAGCTGCCTGTCAGCTCTGACTTATCGTGACTGTTTAATGAGAATTATGGTCATGATTTTTTTTCTTGGCCTCTTATTCCTTCAGTTCATTGACCCTGTGTTATGTTACTCAGTGGGGTGATTTGTTTCTCTTGTGTTTGTATCATTTCCCTGAAGACTTTCACATGCACATCTTACGTTTTTGTCTTAGGATGCTAGTTGGAAGGGGAAATGGTCTAAAAATTTATATGACTTGAGCTTTTGCTCTTATCTCCCATTATTCTCAATTAAGGAACAATGGTTTGAGGCTGATACAAAAATGATTTGTCCCATTAAATTATCCTTCAGTTAAGCTTAAAATGTATCAAGACAAAAAGAAACAAAGAAATATTCAATTGCATTTAATAGTCTTACTGCTAGTGATACTTTTGGTATGTTATTTTTAAATACATATGGATAAGTTATAAGTAATAAATATTATAGTATTTGGTTAATATGATTAGGGACCAAAATTTTCAGTGTAAGAAAAGAATTATAAATATAAAATCAAAGAACTTGAGTATAAACCCTAGTATATTGAATTTTGATTGGAAGTATGAATGTGAACTCATGATTTGTTTTTCTCTTTTTGAAAAATAGATAATTCCTAGCTAGGTTCACTGTCAGTGCCAAGAAGCAATGACAGCCCAGTAGCAATAAACATCATTTGTGCTGAATTATAGTTTCTAAATACCATTTCCTACTAAAAGAACACAAAGCTTATAGGATTAAAGGTTTTTTTGTGGTCTAGGGTAGGAATTGTACACTATAAGCCTCAGGGCATTTTATTGTACCTGAATATAAGGAAACTATGTGAAATTAATGAGTTCATGTCAATAATACTCAGGAGCCCATTTGAAAGGGCTATAGGACATTTTGAGCATTAAAAGGAATAATGCCTTCCATGGATGTAAGCACATCAAAATTATAAAAATTCTAGTCCCTACCAAAAAAAAAAATCCCATATAGGACATCTTTGGAGATTACTCATTAATTTTTAAATTGATAAATGAAGGCAAAGAATAAAGCATTTATCTTGCTTTTCCTTGGGAACTGTATTTCAATGTAAGCAAATAGTTGATGAAGGAAAAATTTTCTTTATACAGGAATCACAGCTAAAAAATTCAAAGAACTAGAAAATTATTTTTTTCAATCCCCTAATGAAATAATGGGTCTAAGTAACAATCATCAATATCTGCTAAAATCATTGGGGATACTGTATAATGAATGTAATTAGGCCAAATACACCCAAACCATCTGATCCCCTCAACCCCGGCACAGCATTTTATTAAGAAGACTTTCAGCCCTGGCCAGTGTTGCTCAGTTGGTTGAGCTTTGTCCCATGCACCAAAAGGTTACTGATTCCATTTGCAGGCAGGGCACAAGCCCTGGTTTTGGGCTTGATCCCCAGGAGGAGGCATGCAGGAGGCATGCAGGATGTTTCACTCTCACATCAGTGTTTCTCTCTCTCCCTATCCCTTCCTCTCTCACTAAAATCAATATAAACATTTTTTTTAAAAAAAGAAAGCTTTCAAATTTGAAAGAATTTTATAGTGATTACTTACATATCCACTGCCTAGAGCAGGGGTGGGAAAACTTTTTGACTCGAGGGCTACAATGGGTTCTTAAACTGGACTCAGAAGAAGGAGCTGCGGCCGTGTTTCCCGACGTTGCCATGTTAACACTGCTGCTGGTGAAGGAGCGGAGGGGAGAGGAAGAGAACCCTCTGCTCTTTCGGCTCCGCGGGCCGGATAGAACAGCCAAACGGGCCGGATCCGGCCCGTGGGCTATAGTTTGCCCACGGCTGGCCTAGAGTCTATTAGCATTTTATTATACTTGCTTTATCACCTATTAATCCCTGTTTTCAACAGTCTATCCACCTCATTTTTGATGAATTTCAGGTTTAATGCAAATATCAGTATATGCCTCCCTAAATATTTCACTATGGACTGTTCATCTTAACATCACCATAGGTAGACAAGCAGACATTATATGCCTCCTGATGTAATAAAGTAGGACAGATGCAGCACCTCCTGGGAAGAGTGCTGACAAAATCCTATCTAATAATAGACAAACATGGTAATTGGTCACACCTTCACTACACTTCCCATTGGCTAATCAGGGCAATATGCAAATTAACTGCCAACAAAGATGGTGGTTAATTTGCATATGTAGACGCAATGCTGGGAAGCGAAAGGGGAAGGACAGAAGAAGCCGCCTGCTGCTGATGGTGATCGGAAACCCAGATGGCAGGCAAGAGCTGGGTGGTAGGGCAGGTGATCAGAGAAGCCAGGAGCGGCAGGGAAGAGGCAGCCGCCAGCATCCGCCTCTTCTCCCC